AACAGTCTCAATTAGTTATGCGCATATTATATCTGAGCATAATGAATTTCAAATGACTGTTTAGTTATTCAGGAATATATCAATCGCATTCTACGTTAGTACCTTCAATGAATTTGTTGACCAGTTTATCCAAATCTTCTTCATCGGTGATTTCTTTAATCCTTTCAAATGCCTCTTCATATGCCTCAATGGAATCTTCTTGACGTTGTTTGCGTTTACGCTCGGCTTCTTCAGATTCTACGTAAACAAAAACGGTTATAAGACGATAAGAAACATGGGGTAGGCTGAAAATAATGCAACTAATGCAGGGTTTTCAAGATATTGTGCTTCAAAGAATTTTTTTTTTTAGCTTGATAATGAATATACTGTATTTGCTGTCAGCCTTTTCCCATGATGCAATAGACAAAACTGAATTTAAATTCTTCTTAATATCCCAGCCAACAATAAATCCATAGTTTGTCTCACCACACAATTTTTTTACCACAAGGGGCCGCTGTTTAGAGAGAACATGAGGGTTACTCACCTTTTTTCTGTCGGATTGCTCTCAGGTACTCATCCTCTTCCCTTTCTTTACTCTTAATCATCATGAACTCACGAAGTTTGCGATCATGATCAATAATACGTTGTAGCTCTTTCATCTCAGCATTATGCTGCGACATATCCTTATCAGCCTTCTCTTTCAACAGTATCATTTTAGCTTGGGCTTCATCACGCTGGTCGTATGCCGTGGTGGATTCGTCAATAACCTTGCCGATATCGTTGCGTAAATCTTGGCGTTCCTAAATGATGAGAAATGTGATTGTCAACAAATTTGATTTTTGGACAAAAAACATGATTCTTGGTCCAAAACCTAAATACATTAAAAAATGAGTGCACTTTTACAGAAATCATTAACAATGGTATTTCCAATTTTCTACCATGATTGACATCACACTTCTCAACTTAGATGTGGAATCCCTGGGGCTTTTATGTGCTGAGGAAATCCATGAATGAAGCACAAATAGATAATTTACATTACGCTGCCTTAAAGCGGAGATAAAATTTAGCATATCAACACCAATACTTGTTTGCATTGTTTAGAAATGTGGCCTGATATGAACATGATTTCAGCAAGAATATAATCACTAGCATTTCATTGATTTGTTATTCAATGTTACACACACCTGGATGTTCGGCAGTCAAGAAAAATCAAAAACATTTGTTTTAGTCAAGTATGTATTGTATAATTTGTCCCACTCAGTACAGTAACATACAAACTAGCTGAGGCACACATCAGAACTAAAATTATTATTATTCTATCACAAATCAAACTGATAGCCTCTAAACAAAGCATGTCAAAGGTCATTATAACTTGTCAGGTATGTCTTGTACAGAGACCAAAAAAAAAAAGAAATAATACTCAACGTACCTTCTCTAGTTTCTTGCGAATTCCTTCAAAACGTGCTCTCTCAACACGCAAGCTATCAATCTCTTCACGGAGCTCAGCATTCCGCGTCAACATCTGATTGAACTTTCTGTTTGCCTATAAAATATTGAAACACGGTAAACTTTATTTATTATAATTGAAACGTAAAACAAAATTCACTGAATATTCTGTACTTCACAATGAGATTTACCATAGGGAGAAATTCTTGTGGTACATGTATGTCATTAGTGGAACTATTACTTGGCCTGGGTAAACAGACAAATAACATGAATAATTTTAAAGTGCGATGGTCATTGCAATGGTGTGCATTTGAATACATTGAATTTTGCACAAGGCAGAATTTGGTATTTTGAAACATCCTGACAATAAACAAGCTGCTTTCTGATTGGTTCGAGTGTTTAGGGTTGAGGTTGGAAAGCCAATCAATCGGGCACAATCTTGTGGGTAGCTTCACACTGACTCTGCAATAGACCCACATACAACCCAGGTATATGTGGCAACCATTTATTTCATCCTTAGCAACGAATTACTCTCATTATAGTCTATGCCATAATTGGTCTATCATGTTCCAGGCTTGTGCATGCTTGATTACAAAGGTCAATGTGTAGGATTTTTTTGACAGTGGTTTCTCTGAAGACTAATGTTAGTTAAATGAATTCACATAACACCAAAAGCCAAATATGGCAAATAAGCTTGTGTGAATCTTTTGGAATTAGATGATCATTTAATAAGCCGAAAATTGAGAAAGATAAGCATGCATGGGTAGAACAAAACATCATCTGACTATTAACGGAAATTTAAGAAGAATTCCAGAAACCCAAATTACCTTATCTAGTCTGTTCTCCAATACTTGTATGTTCTTCATAGTTTGCTTAGTATGAGCTGCACTTGCATGCACACCACCCATGTTTTTATGCTGGGATTTCAATTCTCGTTCACCTTCTCTCGTCTTAGTATCGATCTCCCTCTGCTTCTCTTTCTCCTCATTTATCAGCCTTTCATAGTCATCTATGATACAAGTGTATATATATATATATATAACCATGGTAACACATCCATCCATATTGTTTTACCAGTATACCAGTACAATACATGCAACTGCTGGTACGTTTACCGGTACTACTACCAGAGTTGCACTTTTAGTAGAGCAAATACTCAATACTGTAAATTACTTTATTTAAGGTTTGAATTAATTTTCACAGAAAAGATTTTTTGGGTTTTTGTATTTTACTTATTTTTGTTGAGTTGAATGTAAAATATAAGAAAAACGGTAAAAAGGTATATTCGCTGGATTTTATTTTCACTGAATCATTCCCTCAGTTAAAATAAATTCCAAGAGAAATAAAGTAGTTTACAGTACCATATAAAAATAATCTCCTCATTTTGAATGACAGGACATAATTTTATGAAGATACAAACTTTAAAAATGTAACAAATAATCAAAAAAGGTTCCTATAGAGCCAAATAAAAAAAAATTGTGTTTCCTATGACATGCTTCTTAAAGTAAGTACCGGTAGGTAGAGACATTTTTTTTATTTTTCTTTATTTTTTCTTGGTTATAACACTGCTTTGCAGATATGAGTGTCATAAATCATGTTTTAAAGTTGTTTACATTACAAATATTTGCAAAGTTCTGATTTTTTTTGAAATCTCATTCAAAGCCTGGCAATTTTGTGTTGTTTTCTCAAATATAGGTACAAAAAGTTTAAAGTGGGGTAGCTTAATTAAAAATAAACCAAAGAAGAAGAAGTTAATATCATTAGTCTTGAGGTCAGTTTTTGTACCCAAGTTAGATTCAGAACTTTTTTCACATTAGCAAATAGTACAATTTGTTATCATGCCCAGAGAAACACAGCCCCAACACTGTGGTTGCTACACCGAGGGTGCTACACGGTGTCTGTTTCCCTGAGGTCACTTCATGGTGGTCAAGACAATCTATACACATAAGTAGAACATAATTATAACTATATTACCGGGGGTATGTATATATACACTTTTTCTTGCAATGTTTTGAGATAAAAAATAGATCTGCCAAACCTCTTTCTTCACAAAGTGCTTGCAACTTCATGATATTATTTTCATCCTTTGACGTATTGCTGTTACTTTCAGATAAGGTCAGATCTTTATTCAATTCTTTCTTTTCTCCTTCCAACTTCTTGATCTCAGCCCTGCAAAGTAATACCTATTAATCTTTTGATTGTCATCATTTTTTCACCAAAATTTAGCTGCACTATTTATATGCATTTCGGGATAATTTCTTCATGATTATGAAATCATTTTGCAAAAGGTGACAAAAGATAACCTTGGAGTTCAAAGAGTTATTTCAAAAACCCAGTATAAATCCATGCCGCATTTATAACCATAATAAATCAATTCTAGGAGCAAACCACCATTATGGAATTTTTGGTTACATTAATACAAAATGTGAATTTGGAATGTTTTGCAGATCGCTAGAAAATTTCAATTAAGAAGACATTTTCATTAAAGAAAATCAGCAAATAGACTTTGAAAATATGATTCATGCCAATTCATGTACAATACAAAGATGCATTTTGTTTTTTTAGAAAAAACCAAAGTAATGCGAGTGTCGCTAAATCGAATGGATTTGTTTTATCAAGATACATGTAATGAGAAATGTGAATCTTTAAGAAAGATATGTTGACTCATTTTTAAATATAACATTAAGACTTGTGATTTCATCTCAAAAACTACTATGAATCAGGTGTAATCAAATATAAAATTAATGAAATTTCAGAATATTTCTCAGATTGCCCATTTCAATTTTATAATAAACTGGGATCCACTGGCTCATGGAGACAATTTTGCAAAAATAAGGCATAGAGGGCAGTATACTGACAATGTAGAAGAGAATATATAAATAAAATGGTAAATAAATATAAGCAACAAAGTTGGGTGCATGTTAAACAAGCCAATTTGCAAATACAGCCGAGGACAGACAAGTCTGTCCATACAAGTAATTAATACTGCCATTGTGTTTTGTTATTTACAGCCATGTCTCATCTCTGTTACAAGGTTTCTAATTTCACACGTCATGTGAATTACAATACAACAATGTTGGTACATGCATAACAAGAATTCCCATTGTCGGTATGTACAGGGAAACAGTCACGCTATTCTGTTTTTGTTTATATCAGTTTAACATCTGTACAACAATAATTAGGATAGAGAGGAACTACAGATGGAAAGTCATATCTAAAAATAAAATGCAACTCCCATATCTGAGGGATTTGTTGGGTACATATATTGTGGATTTGGCACTCTACTAGTGCATCTCTGTAGAGTACATTAAATAATATAAACACACTTACAGTTGTCTACGAATCATGTCCTGTGATTCAATGTTGTATGCATTACGATCACCTTCCATGATACGGTACTGACGTTGTAATTTAGCCAACTCAGTCTCAGCTGAAACAAACAAGATAACATTTACAGTGTTTGAAATTTATCAAAATTATATACTAGACACCAGAGCAGTTAATTTTCAAATTTCACCAGTCCTGTCAGAATGTTACCAGTACACAGTGACCACAATGACCTGAATGATATCGATGTTTCTTTGGTCATTATTTTCATCTAGATCTAAGAACTTTACATTCAAAGTGAGAAACTAAAAAAATGCATTTTCATAATTTTAATTGAAGCAAACCACGACAAAATTTTACCAGATCCCAGGGCATGTAAGTTTTTTATTTTTTACTAGCTTGACAAAATTACCCATCTTAATTAAGTGTACGGGCAGGTAGTACAAACACTGACATACAAATAACTCATTCTAGTATAAACAATTTATCTGGAACATACCATCATATTATTCTTACCGTGTTTGCAACTATTAGAATCTCATGTGCTCACTTCAATATTTTAAGTGTCCTTTACAAGTAACATAGGAGCTAATTTTTTATGGCATTTTCTTTTAAAATTTCTATGAATTTTAATTACTTGATAACAAATTTGGAATAACAGGAACAAGCCAACTGTTTTACGTGAATGCATTTCTAAGCAAAAATAAACTACTCTTCCATCTTACACATACTTCTAATAGAGATGTCCTTCTAATGAAGCAAATAAATTTAATACTTTTATTGAATAAATTTTTTATTGAGATATTAAGATAGATATTAGAGTAAGAGTTTCGATATCTGTCTACTATCTATAGTACAACAACTTACCAAGCTGCTGATCTGCATCAGCTTCACTAGTGTCAGATCGACGACTAGCCGAACGAGGTCCTCCACGTGGCATTTTGTTACTGTGTAGTTAAAGGCTCTAAAATGTCCTGAAAGTAAATAGGCAATCAATAGGAATCATTTATAACATAACGAAACAATTCTAGATGTTTACGATGATTGTCATAAGATACAAGCGTCAACTTTGCATCTTCTGATTTATTAGCTACGTAATGCAGTTCCTGAATATTTTGTACATTTAGTTACAACTTTATTTTGAAATATGTGGCACAATATATATTTTGTCTAACTGCCAGTAACTCAAACTCAAACCCATAGTTCTGCAACATTTATGTGAACATATTCCCCTACAAAGCTGTGTATGATTTACAGTGAAATATATTTGATCTTGGTACTACATAGATATCATATGCCCCTAAACATATGCCATAGCATAGTTGGCTTAGCATAGAGTATTTAACCCTTTCACCACCAGAATTTCTTGCCAAAATTTGTCTGCAATCTTCTGCAATATTTCTGGAAATGAATCCTACTTTTGGAGCAAACAGACAAAATTTGAGTCACTTTTCAGTTTTTACACAAAAAATTTGCCTATTTTGGTCTCAATCTTTTGAAGGAAAGTGCAGACTATAAAATGAACTATTTTTTGAATTTGTGACGAAAAAAGGGAACTAGTGGTGAACATAAAATGGAATGAGATGAGACGTTGAATCACCAGAGAGGGCACACTTGCAGAACATGATCTGCCAAAGTTACAATAAAGGTGAGGGGGTGGTCAAAAAACCTAGTATTGGCCAATCAAGCCTACAAATGTACATCTGAACTTGATTGCACAATAAAATTGTTCCATTGTTACCTTAGAAATTTGCATGCTCTGAGGTAAAAACATTCCAATTTTGTGTGCATGGGAGGGGGGGGGGGGTCATTTCACCATACACATTTTGATAGCTCATCAGAATGCCAGGACCAGGGAAACCAGTGAACAAATTGCGCAAGCTGGAAATCAACCCCTCAATTTTGCACAGAAACTGACTGATACCGGTAGTGCTATAACTCAAAATGGTGCACATACAATGTATGATGAAATGATTCTATCAACTTCAGCGACTATATGGGTTAACTCCGAAAATTTTGGCTTCCAAAATGCTCACTCTCGATGTTTGAGTATCAGGCAGAATGTGTTTTTACCATGTTGCAAAATCACCTGAAATGAATACTGCTCTTAAAATGCTAAAATATGCATGGGGCATCTTGTTACCAGTTACATTAAAAATTGATAGTATTCTACCACCTAGAGATCACAGTTGATTTCTGCATGATTTTTTATGTATACAAAGTTGTAACCCTTTCATTCCTGTTATTAGTATATTGTGTAAGTCAATACATCTTCCGCTATGATTTAGAAAGTAGTACCCTATAATGGACTATATTTTTGTAGTTTTAAGATGAATATTTCATTACTGACATATTCCATCATATAGGTGTATGTGGTGTTTTCGACCATGGGATATCTAGGTGTCAAACAACTAAACAATGAATTAACTAATTTTTGCTGACATCACATTCAGATCACAGCATTTCTAAAAAATGTAATGTGTTCATACACTGAAAATTAGAAAGGCTGCATAGAGTAAAGTAAACTATAGTATACATTGTAACACTCATTGTGTTACCCAAGGTTTCACTGCACTTTCCTCAGCGCATAAAAGCCCCCATAGACTTGCACATTGATCACATTCGAGTATACAGTATTGACATATATATGGTAATTTTGATATTACATCAATCTATACTACTGTGAAATACTTTATTATAGCTAGAATTAATTTTCGCTGAAAAGACATTTTGGGTGTTTTATATGGAATTTATTTTCATAGATTTTTGACAAGTTGAAAGTGAAATATAGGGGAAAAGGTATATTCGCTGGATTTTATTTTTACGGAATCATCCTTTCAGCGAAAATAGCGAAAATAAATTCCAAGCGAAAATAAAGTATTCTACAGTATTAACGCTACATGATAATATAATATAATTCAGTATGAAATCAGTATTCATGCTGATGATATTTCCAGTGTTGTCAAATTAGAGCATAGACCATATATGGTTAGAGGAGTGATGTGGCACAATTTCATTATGACTTTTGTTTCAACCAAATCTTTGAATCATAATAATTGCATTACCGTTAGTTATAGAAGATGGGGCAAAATGGTGGCGTACTGCCGGGAACGAGCTGCAAATAATGTGTTCGCATTCTCAACTCGGCGAGATTTGGAAATTCGAATATTCGTCGACCTTGTGACATTTAGAATGCTTGTGTTCTGATTGACAATTATCGTTTATTGAATAATGCTGCATAAAGTAAACTAATTGAACAAGTTGAATGTGATGATTTGTAACTAAAATTAAAAAGTAAATAAAACATCAGTCACCAACAAGGCAGTCTACATCGAAAATCCATACACTATCACTGAACAATTTCTAAACAGGCGTCATAAGTATACAAGTCTGGTTCACAAAATTCATCATCAAACTACAAAAAATGACAAAATGGTCGAGTACTTACAAATATTCTGAGAAGCCTTGGCTTTTAAGTTCCTAACGGCAACGATCACAGAGAATAATGGCTGAATGTTTTCCCCGTCCTTCAGCTCACGTTGTCAATAGAAACCGTGAGCTAAACAAGACAGCGCCCTCAAAACCCCTATCGTGACGCAGGCGGGCGTAGCACATGAATAAATTACACAACAAGAATATTCATGTTAGCTTTTAACGTATGAAACCGTTGTTTATTTATTATATAAATAATTCTAGTATTATAGTTATATTATAAATATTTCCAATTTAACCCGAATGTTTAATGTTAGACGTACTACTCAATAGAATAATAATAATTTATATTGCACCGTAATAAAAAAAAAGAAAGAAAAAAAAAACTTACTCACAAAAGTAATAAAGAAATACCGCAAACGAAACTAAATAGGAGTTAAAAATCAGATGCTGTATGTTAAAATATACGTAACAAATGTTAATAATTTAGTTTTATTGAGACAACACAGGGAGTTGGAATAACTTGAGTGAAATTCTTGTTAAATTGTCTTCTCTTTTTCTCACTAAACACCCACCCACCCCATTTTTTAGATTCTTGCTCTCTTTTTACCTCCATACTCTTCCTATGTAACCAAGACCGTTTATTTGGTGTTTACGTTATAGATTTACAACTCCCCCACTTTATACAAATTTAAATCCTTGATTACACACATAAAGGTCATTCACACATAGGAGTAAGGGGCTCCGTGAAAAGACTTCGGGTGCGGATAGAAAAAAAAACACAGGTTTTTTTTTTGGTTTAATTTTTTTTTATCAAAATTCGCTTAAGTTACTTCAACTCCATGTGGTACAGATACGATGCTAGCGGAGTGGATTACTTCTGTTTGCTATATTGTCTCAACGCAGAATTGTGTGAAGATGGACAGAAATATAAATTACTTGCTGGAATTGAAATAATTTATCCCTATCTCGGTTCTGACTACCCCTGGCACATAGGCAGTATAAAACGCATAATAAAGTAGCCGAGACCCGGATGGAGTTGCGGAACTGATGTTAATGAGATGTCAGTGACGTCAGCACTGTACGACTAGACGCGTAAACATATAGTGACACTTCCTCTTACGGTATGCAAATTACAAATTAAACAGAAAAAGTCTCCAAATTGTTAGAGCAACTTACGCCTTCACAAATAAATGTAACCGTCAATTAATATTTCAGCCTCAGTTTCTTTCAGTTCAATGTGTTTACTGTCCAAACGACAAATTTCCCCCCATTTTTTTAAGCGAGACAGGCAGCATGATTAGTGTATATAAATACCGCGAAAAGATATCACGCCCATTTTTTAAAGAAGCCAATGAAAACCCAGAAGGAAGCCATTCTAACCAATCACATTGCTATATTTAGTCACATGACTGTATGAATTAACAATAAAGCAGGTGGCCACATGACCTTTAGTTGTCAGATTTACAGACAACAAGCTACTATTTTATAGCGAATTTTCCTCCAATTTATCGGTTGTTTGTAACAGTACATATATTTTCACAATGGCAGAGGAACAACCACAGCTTACACGCGATTCTACCATGAAAGTTACAGCACAGGTATGTTTTGGTTGCTTAAATATCGCAAAATTTGCAAGCTATTTCGCTTCTGCTTTCGTTTCGTGCTTTGTTCTTGTTGTTTTCAAAATGGATGGCCAGGCTGAAGGGAGTAAGCTGGATGTACCGGCGATTTCTTTGCTTATAAGCATCGCATACTATTCTCGTTTTCACAAATAGTGACATTATATATGCATTTCCCATGCTGTTCCCGGTCTGCGCTATTCGAGGCGGTTTTTTTACGTAAATCTTGCACAAATTTCGCTGTTTCTCCGTTGCTTGCCCATTGTGCTACATGCTAGTACAGGGGACGCTACCAGATTTCTACAAGTTTGGGCTGGAAAACATCCGCTCATAGCTTAACGCAAACTCTCGCGCAATCACTAGCAACTATTGCGCATATAACTAATGCACTCTCTCAAAATGGACATAATTTTAGTATCTCCACTAAACACATTACTGCCTTTTGCCGGATCGTCTCGGTCATTCGTTCCGTGGCACTGTCCATGCCCTTTGTTTAGGTCAGTTTACTGAGAAATTTGATCACCGCCCGTCTCGTACCGGTGGCATACTACAACCTAATAATACATAAGCGCGCTATTTTTACAAGGTTGCACGCGAAATTTGATAGTTAAGAACATGTGCTACAACAGGGAAAAACTATTTTGTTGATAGGTTGATTTATAATCAAGAAAATCGCACCTTGAAAAGTTTCGAATTTTCATTGACTAACTGTATGGGGGTCGAAGTATATGGTAACGCACCAATTAATGATTGTCTAACTGTTAACGTAATTAATGTTTTTACAACTGTTGCGCTAATTAAACTAAAGGCGTTGTCCAAACCTATTAACACCCAATAATTTAATTGTTTCCCTTGGTACCTCTGACTCTTCAAGCAGTGTTCAACAAACTGTTGGTTTGACTTCCTTGTAAATTAAAACTCTGCTTTGTGGGGGAACTTCTACGGTCAAAAGAAGTTCATTTGTACACCGACCCTGAATGGCCTACTGTTAGAATAAGTCAGGTTTTGTGTAATACAAATTGAGAATTTTATGCTATTTTATGCAGGGTCATTTATTCCGTATTGTCTGCTGCCAAAATCTTTTCAGGCTGAAAATAAAATAATTACATTAATAGACGTCTCCTCTCGTATGTTAATTACAACCAAACAGAAAGTATTTTAGTTCAAAATAACAAATACACAGACAAGAAAAGAAAAAGGCTGTACACACTAACTGGTTCACCACCAAAACATAAAGTGACGTTGTCTTATAGTGCAAAATTGGCCCATTTTTCTAGAAACAGAAACATGGTGTTTCTTCTTATGGAAATCATATTTTCTATCTTTCTTATATAACTAATTTCAGCTTTAATGGCAACAAAGGATGGTAATTATTTTTTCATTTTGCTTGTATAGATGTATTTTTTAAAGATAATAGTTAAATGGTTCAAAAGGTGCGAAAAACTTTCATCACCATGGAGAATCTGTTTTGCTGAAAGTGGCCGGGGGCACTGCAAAAGTTGACCCCAGTGATCATAAAACCTTGTCCAAATATCTTGCACCACATGCCAGTCACAAAAGAGATGAATCAGAGTTTCACTAAAGTTATGGCAAAATGTACACATGTCAGAAATAACTAAAGGTGATTGAAAGTGATATAGCATAGCATTTGTGTACAAGATGTTAAGGTTTAATTTCCATTGAAATTCACGAAGAGTACTGCAAATTGTAACAAGAAATGGCATTGAAGAGAAAAAATCCCATCCAGTTTCTACCCCCAACAAGTCTCTAAAGAAGGACTGACTAGATGGAATAATAAAAAAAAATCGGAAGAGATGAGTTTATGGCTGAATTTTGGGGTACAGTTAGAGAGATTAATCATTTGCTTTCGACCATATACACTGATTGGAGGATCTGGCCGCACAACAACTGGTCTACTTATTTTCCAGTCTTTAGGGATAGCCGCAATGAGACCCTGCCATCGTAGAAACTGAATGCGGTTTAAACCCAATGAATTTAAGTCATTCCAATTTTTAACCGTATCCTCCTCATTAAAGATGTCAACTATATAAACAATTCCTAGATCCTTTAAATCTGAATAAAATATACTTTTAGTTTGAATAAGAGTGTTTTTATTATTCCATATAATCTCGTATGCAGGGAAAATAAACTCGTACTGTATAACATTACTCCATACATTTAGCTTTTCCCAATAAAACTGTGGTAATTTAATATGTAGTGCGTTTATTGAGAAGTTGCATCTAAAAATTAATTCTCCCCCAAGTGGTTTTAAATAAAGATCTAGGAACCGTTTCTATGGATGACAATATGGTGACAAATACCTTTTAACCTAGTTAATTTTAAAAGCTTTCTGCATAGCACAAATATCCAACATCCCTAACCCACCATGGCCTATGTGTATTTGTTATTTTGAAAAGAAATAAAATTAACTTAAATATAACAAAAAAAAGTATTTTAGTTTAATACATTACTTTAGGGGTGCTGAGAACATCCACTTCCAAAGTTCATATAAAGTACTTGTATGCATATCAACAACTTGTTGCCGATATTTGAAACGATTAACATCAAAATGACTTTGTCATGATTTTGACCCCTTACCTGTGAATTAACACCAGTAGCAAAGTATTTTAATTAACGAGATACAGGGTAACAGGTGATGCTTTTGTACCATAAATAATTTTGCTTGTCTAATAAGACATATTTAAAAAAAAAAAAGTTTGTTTTCTCAGACTGACAAAAAAAATCTTGAGATGATTTTAAAATGTTATCACAGAAAAATATATTTGTATGAAATAATGAAATGCCCATTTTGCTACTAAAATTACTGTATCAGATTCCCAGGTGTGAAACTGGGTTGTATTTAATACCTAGTAACCTCAACACTATTATCCTTGCCAGCTGCACCCATGATTTAGTTTTATCACATTAAACACTGTAAAATGATGCTCAAAATTATAACAGGACATTATAATTTTAGTTTTAGAAACTACCGTATCTGTGTTTTATGTTTCCATTGTTTGATATTTTTCAGAAAATTTAGTTCATCTATTATCGTAATCATTCTATTATTATACACTTTTTTGGAAAATGTAAACATTAAAATGTCAGTACCATTAATTTTTACTTGCTTTTAATGTCATTATTTTTATATTGTGAATATATAGTTTTTAAAGTGCAAGAGTCGTCGCACCACGCATGTGCAAGATATATGGGGTCGTATAAACAAAGATGGCGACTTTGACCTTTGCGCAGATCAACGAATACAAACTGAGGCGTTACCAAGTCTCAATTAGGTATTTTTTTAGGTGACTGAAATGTATCGAAGGAGTCACTACAAACGGTAATTCGTGCAAGTCGCGCCCAGGTCAAATCTTATACTTGTGATTTTCGAAGAAGAACAACGCATTGGACTGTGGCAAAAACAATGTTATCAACACAAATGTTGTACATGCGCAGCGCTCAACCACCACCCTTCGAGTTCACATATTTGCCGGGGTAAACAATGAGTTCCATGGTTTTTCATTTATTGTTAACATGAATTTAATTTATTAATTTTCCTTATCAGCGAGAATAGTGAGATTAAAACCTTTTAAGTAATTACCAAATTTATAGTTATGATGGGAAAAAAATATAGTAATTCAGAAGCAACCAAGATGTTCAAATATACACAATAGTATACACAATAGGAGGCAGTAGTGTACACACTCAAGGACGCACCATTCATGTTGAGGGGGGTGAGCAGTTTATAAAAAGATGGAGGGACTGTGGATGAACTAATTTGCATGTTGAGAAGTTTAAGTTTTAACTTGTTTGGATTGTCATCTGTGTACTGTATTTATTATGTACTTCAATTAGATCATGCTCTCTTCCAATGATTCTAACGCCCTTCTTCTCATGACACCCCTGCAACTACCAACCCACCCATCCCCCCCTCAATGGATTGGGCAACAACCAAAGGGTGGAGCATGTTTTATTTGAACATTCAGTTTGTTCATTGTATTTCTCAGGGATAAATATTATCCAGTCAAATAGTATAGACAGTTGTGTTGTGTACATTCATTGACATACCATATGTGCCAAAACATGTTTTTTTTACTCAATTATTGTCTGACATGTAATAAGATGAGACTTATAAAATCTTACATGATTCCAAGCAATATAAAAAAAAACTCCCTCCTTGGAACATATTTGTGTGCTGTGCAAGTTGAGAAAAGTCTATTCTCACAACTATTTGATTTGAAATGAATCTTAAATTATGTATAATACAGGTATTTTATCTTTTTAGACTGCTGCAATGCATTATTTAATTTTAGTAATAATAAAGTGTGTGTGACTAGAAGAAAATAATTGTTCTTCTTGCGTTTTTTACTCTTGTGTGTAAAGCACACAATGGGAGTCTTTGTGATTAGTGTGCCCACTGACATCTCCAGAAGCAATTATCAGATTTAAATGAAACTGGAATTAATGCACAGAACTGATGATTTTCTTGTGGCAAATGTGCTTATTCATCACTTAATTTGCATATTTCATAATTACCATTCAGCAGATTTTAATGAAACTTAGTATATATATGTTGTTGGGTAATGCACAGACCTGGTTAATTTTGTTGTTGAAATCCGTGCATATTAAAGCACTCATCTGCATAGTTATTAACCAATTTAAATTTTTTCACTTTTTCTTCAGAACTACCTTGCAAATTTCAATGAAACTTGATACCTGAATGGCCTGATTAGTTTCTAGTTCCAATCTTTGCATATTAATTACCTAATTTGCATATTAGGTAGATTTTAAAAGGGTAATTGAAATTTTGAAGCAATTTTAAATAAACCCCATTTCCGATTTATGTACGACCAATATACTCAGCACACTGGATTTCTATGAAAACTTTCTTTGCTTTGTTATTAGAAAAAAAAGTTGTAATTTTGTATATTCTATGCAGGACACTGACTTGAATTTGTACCGCTGAACGGCAGCCGTAC